ACCATCTGGGAGCCTTACCCAATTTAGCTCTTTACAGGACCCAATGGGACCCGAGTATTAGACCAAACCAACCATTCCCTAAGAGGAATATAAATTCAGACATACGAAATTTCATCTGTCGTATGACTCATCCCTACCTTAGTTCAAACCTACCTGCTACAAACAACACTTATATTACCTCCAAAGCGAGACTATAGTTACTCATTCTACTATAAGTCTTTTGCAACTGAGTCTATTGAATGTCTTACTGGGGAATACCAACGACACTCTTTACTACTTCATCATCCCTTTTCCTTATTCTGAGTGTGCGAACCTACCTCGGTTCTATACTCCCAGATTCGTCCTGTATTCCTTGTAGCAGCCAAGGGGACAGGTTGAGTTTGCCCTCCACTGATATGGAGGTTAGCTCTTTGTCCTTCGTCCAGGTATGTCGAAACCAACCTGAGTTCTTGCTTGGGTGGCGCTGCGTGTGGTCCCAGTCTACCTGGATTGTTCTTCTGAGTAGGGTCTTGATTCTGTGCATCTAAGTCTGAAGGGTCTGCGTTTGTTCTTGAAACCATCTTGTTTCTATCGGAAGGTTTTTCAGAGGTGGAATCCGGTAGTTAGTGCTCCGGATTCTGAGAGTTGGAGAGTAGTCCAGCGAGACCCAGTGTTTCCACTCGTCCGGATGAACCAGGAAGAAAANTTTTTTTACTCAAATACCATTCGTATTAGAAACAAAGCGAACCGAAGTCGGGGACCTCAAAATTCAACCCGGAGTTATCCTGGCAGCATTTGCCAGTTTCGCTTATAAGTCTGGCAGAACCGGAACCGAAGTCTAATACCAATACCAAGCAATCTCTCTCATTTTTTGTTACCCAATTTTACTTACTGCCCAATACAGGCTGTGAATCGGTCAAGAGTTATTGCTAATCTATGAAGTAAATCCTGCCTAACTAAATCAACCTATCGAATTCACAGGAGTTTCCACGACAGACGCTGAGTTACCAATCAAGTCCACGACCGGACCGAAAATCAACCAAGTAAACAAATTCAAGCTCCAAGCTAAGTTCACCGCCCTAGGCTCTTCCCTTTCCTACAAGCAAGAGGCGTGTGCTAAAGTGCACACTATAACCAGAGATAGAGGGGAGCAGGGATCTGGCCTATAAAACCAGTCAGATTCATGCTAAAATCCAAATAAGAACAGACATGGATCCGGTTTACCAACTCGGCCACTTGCAGCGAACCAGAGCTATGGAATACGCTCCCACGCTCACACACCAAGGGCACCAATATTCCTGACGTTATAATTGCCCCTAAGAGGAGGGAGGAAAACCCTAAAACATGAAAAATACGCTGTTATTGCTTACAAACCAAGTACTAAAACTATGTCAAACGAAATTTCACTGACAACTGAAACTTATGAAGGCAGACCAGGAATGACTGAAAACACCCAAGAATAAGACCAAGGACAGAGTAAGGGCGTCGCTGCACAAGACACGAAATGAAAAATAAAACGAGTGCATCTTCCGACAGAAAATGGCCACATTCATCGGTTTGCTATAAATAGGAACGAGTGTATTTTGCCATGTTTCGTGGGCAGATGCACTTGTTTCGTTTTCGTTTCATGTGCCGTGCGGCGAGACCCTAACTCGAAAGTCATGGACAAGAAAATGGAATGTAATTTCGAATTTGAGGTAAATAAACGCCAAGATAAGAGTAGTCGATGTAACTAAAGTATGAGTGTCTCCATGTATAGTGCCGCGGTTTCACCCAGTCGACCAAACAGCCCGTGCCCGTCGCCCTACAGGTTCTGTCTTCACGCTCCGGGTTGAGATAGTCACCAGTACTCCATAAATGCTCCTCATAACAACAGTCCCACCGCTGCCAGTTGCCCTCCCACTGCTCCTGGAAGTGCCGCTGTCTAACTCACCATTCGCCAAGCAGACTGCGGCAACAGTCTGTCGGGAGACACGGTGACCAGCCCTTGTGTCATGCACACTTAGAAGTCACGACAGACTCATAGAGCAAACCCAAAAGACAAAACCAAAATACAACTCTCTTGAGTTCAACCTTCATACAGAATGCGATCTCTCACATTGTACGTAACACTGTAGCTTGTCACCATAGCTAGTTCTCCCTCTACCATCGACAGAGCAAAATCCCTCTACCGGTTCCATCCGCTTGCTCAGCGGAATCTTCAGGAAGGTGTGCTATTGCACTTCAGTCGAAAAGAGGCCGGGTGCCTTGCCTCTCACATATTTGTACCGTGTTAACCCTCTGCTTGTCGTCGCGTCTCCTCCCCGGAAGTTCCTACTCTGGTCCCGATCCCGTTTTCGGGCCCGCTACCCGGGACCGACAAAATAAACTAATAAAACGGTAAATACCGTAAATACCGTAAGTACCAGCCGAACATCAACCAGAATTCAAACTACAACATGTCGACCCATCTATAATGCCGACGAGTATCCAAAATATAAAATGCCTACAAATATCCGAAAAATATATGCCGATTTTCCAAAGCCGCCGGATGTTCAGACGAATAGGCAACTCTACTTTTGAGATCTACCTCTCCGTCGTCGCGGGAGCTTCCAAGAGCAAAGACACCAAAATGTCCGAATGTCAAAATAAAAGCACACAAAACTGTCCGACAATAAATAAATAAATAAATAAATAAATAAATAAATAAATAAATAAACCAACAGTACCGCTTGGCCATCTGAAGCGGGTGTAACTTCCTCGGTCGACACCTGTCCTTGTGCCCTCGCCCAGACGGGTTTATCCCGAGCCTGTTCGGCGGTTATCGCCTGGGTGAGGGGCCGCGGTCAGACAGTGTCTGCTCGTAACCGTCCCTCGGTCGGACCTAGAGGTCCATTGTCTTCGCTTCTCTTCGTACAGCCTCTGCTGAAAACAAGCGGCCAGGAGTCTTAGTGCCTTATATCCCGTAGCCTTGCCACTAGAGCCTCTCTCCCTTCTTCGTGCAGTTTGCAATGTATTTAACGCGTAAATGGGCATAATACCACTGTAGATAACACTTGAATTCTGGAGGTTGAAGGTCATAGGAGGGACGGAACCACCCTGCTCCCTGATATTCCACAGAGAGATGCAGCCCTTTATCAAGGCTGAGGGTGGTGGACGAACCTAGAGAGTACCGAGTACTCCTTAGCTCAGCCCCCACACCCCGAATCCCGCGCCTTGCTGCCGACGCAGAGCGCCGCCGTCTCCGAACGGCGATACCATCGGTAGCGCAGCGCTTCAACGGAGTGCTGTCCCCCTCCGTGCTCCTTTTGAAATTTTCCAAATATTATCATGTAAGTTTGTCATGAAGTAAGCCACTTCATAAGGAGTATTTAGCAAGGAAAATGACTAGGTTAATGTACTCTAAATATTTCGTGTAAGAGAATGTCTTGATTAATGCTCCGCGCCCTTGATCCCGATGGAGACGCTCCCACTACCACCAGAGGAACTCCCACTCCCATTGGTGGCACCGCTTCCCGTCGAGCTTCAGGTCTTTCACACTCTCAGTCGAGATAGTCAACAGTAGTTCTCACGTGCTCCTCCCAACACCAGTCCCACCACCACCGGCTGCCCACCCACTGCCTCAAGAGGTGCCACTGTTGGGCGTGCCCGCTATCTCCTACTAGACTCTCTCTTCCTTCGTCGTGCTCACACTGCCATGAGTTTCGTTACTTGAATCTTGTAGATTCTGTTGTAGGAGGAACTGGAATCACTCTGCTCCCTGGTATTCCACAGGGGACACAGCCCCTTGTCGGAGCTGAGGGTGATGGCCGAACCTAGAAATCGAGGAAGAAGACATGGCTCCTCCCCACACCCCGAATCCCACACCTCACTGTTGGCGCAGAGCGCTGCTGTCTCCGGACAGCGAGTACGCCCTGGTAGCGCAGCGCTACCGGTAATCCCCCTTCAAGCACTCCATTTCCCCGTTTTCCTTGGGCCCACCGGCTTCCTCCCTACCCCCAAAAGTTGCGGAGGTGTATGTGCTGGGACTCTGAAAAATAGCTGGGTGGGGTACTGGTGGTTGGTAAGAACATTATATTCGGGGAGGTAGCAGTGTAGCACTGTTGCACGCAACGACAAAGCGCAAGTGTGCACGCAAGCGATAGGTCGAGTTCACCGCTCCCTCGCCAACCCCCCCCTCGCCACGCCACGCCACTGTGGCTTTCTTTTTGCCGCGTTGGGATGTCAATCATCAAAAAAAAAAAAAATGTCAATCATAAAAAATCATCAAAAACTGACCAGCCTGAGGGAAGGTTATTTTGCTTATCTGGTCAGGCGATCTGAACGAAGGCCTAGCTATCGCAGTTCACCTATCAACAGTTGGTAGGTGGGGTAGTGGTGGCTTTTTCTTTCGGGAGCGGTAAGGGCCTCGCCACACCACTGTAGAAACGAAAAAAGAACGAATGCATCTTCCTCAGGAAGGGGTAAGATGCGCCCGATGCTATTCATAGTAACGGATGCATCTTGCCATTCTCTGCAGGAAGATGCAGTCATACTTTTTTCGTTTCGACATCGGTGTGGCGAGGCCCTAAGGCCTTGCTCCTCTGACCCCATATTAATCTGTTATCTGGAAGGCAGTAGGTAATAATGTTATTATTGGGCTCGCCTACAGGACTCGCCAAAAGACATCATGTTTGGTGGCCGCTTCGCCGCTCGCACTCGGTGACCCGCTCATTATTGTTGAGTTGATTCGCCGAACTTGGCGAGCTCAAAAAAAAGAAAAAAAAGAAAAAGAAAAAGAAACTTGGCGGGCTCCCTTGTAGGGACCTCTTCGGCCTTCCGGACGAACGGACCACGTCGGCCGCCACAAGGCTGGTGGCCGCGACTGCCCACTTTCCTGAACGAACATGAGCGGCGATAAGGCCAGATTCGTTCACAATTATATCCCAGCTGATGATCTGCTTATAGTCGTTGTCCTCCTTGCCTGCGCAAGGATGATCTGTTTCAGGTTATCAGGTATGATGCGAGTCCATCGACATCAGGCTGTTCAGAACTCTTTAAGTAACGGTCAGTTATTTCCCACTCTCACACTCCTATTTCGTTAAGCCCGACCAATCCTCTTCTGTTCCATCGGTTCTTCTCATCGTTTTTGTGTCGCCATCTTCCTCGAACGATGGCTTCCGAGTACCGTTGCTTCGTCGGAGGTCTGGCTTGGGCCACCGACGATCGGGCGCTGGAGAATGCCTTCAGGCAGTGCGGCGACGTGGTTGACTGCAAGGTGATTTTGGACCGTGAGACAGGGAGGTCGAGAGGCTTCGGCTTCGTTACATTTGCGGACGAGGACTCCATGAACAAGGCGATCAGCACGATGAATGGTGTGGAGCTGGACAACAGGTCCATCACTGTCAATCAAGCACAAGGCAAGGGTGGCCGTAGTGGCGGCGGCGGCGGTGGAGGAGGCGGCGGCGGCTATGGTGGGAGCTTCGGCTCGCGAAGCGGCGGTCGCTACGGTGGAGGCGGCTATGGTGGTGGAGACCGTTATAGCGGTGGAGGTGGGGGCGACCGATACGGCGGTGGTGGGTACGGAGGTGGTGGTGGGTACAACGACGGCGGGTATAGCGGTGGCGGCGGTGGCGGCTACAGCCGCTCTCGCAGCGGTGGATACTAGATAACCTTTGCTTTTCTGCTTGGTGCTTGGCCCGTTAAATATATATATATATATATATATATAAATATGTATGTCTTAGGAACGGGGCCGTTGCTGAGCGACACTCCGACCCTCTGGGTGTGTCGGCCTCTCTTTTCATCTTCTTTCCCCGTACGATACTGGAGTTGATGGTACCGATAGCTATGAACTGAAGAGGTATTCTTCTCCTCTCTCCTGTGACTTTCTGTACTTTCTTTGTTTCTTTGCGTTGGTGGTGTCCCGTAGCTGTCTTTCCCTGGATATGAAGCATACAGAGGAGATTCAGTAGACTGGGCTCAGTGTGAGCCTTGGTGGTATGGCTAGCTACTAGTTGGTGGTTTTGCTAGCTTTTGAACGAAAGAGGTTCTCTTCTCGTTTCTCCCGCGTGACTCTCTTTCCCTGGACGTGAAGCATACAGAGGAGGTTCACTAGACTGGGCTCAGGTGTTTGAGGTTTCGCTAGCGAAGGAGCAAGAGTGCCCGTCTGTGTCCCCCTGACAGTCGACGGTGGACTTCTGTCTCTCTCTCTCTCTCTCTTTGCTATCTCTTACCTCTTACTTGTTTGATGTGCCTTGCGGGACTGCCTTTCTCGATTGCGTTCGCTTCTGATTATATGATCTTTATATGATCTCTGTAACCTTGTTTGGAAAGTGATGATGATGATGCAATTTTGACCGATTACTGTCTTGCAATTTTGACCGATTACTCAGTCTTCTGGAGGCGTTTCGGAACTGATCATCGTGAGGTTACTGTGTGTGGAAAAAAACGGCTGGGACTTCATTTTTTTCGGGTTCGGGTTTGAAAGGGTAATTCTTCGAATAACGGACGGTGGCCGGAATCGTTTTCTATGTCCGGCGTCAGATGGAATATATGCTTTTATGATGAACCGAGTTCTGTGGCGAAGCCTCGATCTTTTGTTGGACGCAGGCATGCTGTTGGCGATCGTTGTGTAGCTGCAGCTCAAGTTCTGCTGTTGGCGATCGTTGTGTAGCTGCAGCTTAAGTTCTCAACGGTCCTGTGAAGGGTTCAACAATTCGAAAGGGATGCTTGGAGTCTCTCCTCTCTCCTCTCCGATAGTCATTTCGACCGGAAGCGGCCGGCGGCGGTAAGTCGCGACCGCCATCCGTAAGGTAAATGTTGTGGGTGGATGCTGGATGCTCTATAATTGTATTGACGATCTCGGCCGTTACTTGGATCAGGTTGCGCCCGCCGGCCATCCGTAAGGTAAATGCTTGTGGGTGGTTTACGTGTATTGGCGCTCTCGGTCGTTACTTACTAGTAGAGCCGGGGTACGAATCGCGCTCCATCCCGAGTGTAAGTCGTCCTCATGTTTCTGGTAGCTGAGTACGTGTACCATCATCTGTTCGGTATTTTCGAGAGGGAAGCGATGTGTTCTTTTTGTTTTCGTTTCGGTTTTGTTTCGTTTAGCTGTTCGCGTACTGATATATATATATATATATATAGATGGATATGATATGAATTTCAAATGGACGCAGTGATCGTCATGATGGCACTGCCGATGATGATGATGATGATGCGGATGTCCGGCTGGTCTCGTTCTTCTGCTGCGTTGTTTTTTTTTAGTCGTTCGCGTACTGATATATAGATATATAGATATGAATTTCAAATGGACCCAGTGATCGTCATGATGGCACTGCCGATGATGATGATGATGATGACGAGGTTCGGCTGGTCAAGTTCTGCTGCTGCGTGTATGTGTGATAGCTTCAGTGTCTCGTTATCTACGGTGAAAGGAAAGGGAAAGGTGTACTACTTTGAAGAGGGAATTGGGATGCGGTGATGTGAGGTGGAGACTTGACGAGGGATCGAACTTGGGTTATGACGTGTACGTGGAGATTTTCGTTTCGCTTTGTATAGGTGGGGACGGTTTCTTAATGTCCTCCACGTGGTGCCAGAAGACCTGTTCTTTAGGCTAGGCTTGATCCGCAGAAGACTGTTGATTCGAGTGGGTCGTTCATGTCCTGTTTGTGGAAGGCGGAGTTGAAAGGAGTAACGCCCGCCAAGAAGATAGAAGTAGAGGTTTTGAATGACACTTTTGGTCGTTGAAATACCTGTATGCCGGTGGACGATTTCGATGGTCTTCTGACGATTGATTTCGATGATCTTGTGACGATTTCGTTGCTGTTGAGAACTGTGTCAACCATGCTATTAATGTTTTTTTCGGGTGTCGCTGGTGGAGTTGCTGCAATTCTTTTTGCTTGGTTGAAGTCATTGGATATTGTTGGAATGCCCGCCAAGAAGTCTGAGAAGTAGAGACTTTGAATGTCACTTTTGCGCGTTGAAATACCCGACTTCGATGATCTTGGCATGTGACGGGTCTCGATTTCCTTGTGAAGAAGATCCTGTTGGGAGCCGTGTCAACCACGCTGTTAACGGTATTTTCTTGGTTTGTGACGGGTTTCGATTTCCTTGTGAAGATCCTGTTGGGAGCCGTGTCAACCACGATGTTAACGGTATTTTCGGGTGTCGCTGGTGGAGTTGCCGCTTTTTTTTGCTCGGTTCGGAGTCATTGGATATTGTGGGAATGCCTGCCAAGAAGATTGAGGTAGAGATGTCGAATGACACTCTTGCGCGTTGAAATACGTGTATGCTGGTGGACGTTTTCGATGATCTTGTGACCTTTTCGATTTATCTTGTGAAGATCCTGTTGGTGGCCGTGTCAACCACGCTATTAACGGTATTTTCGGGTATCGCCGGTGGAGTTGCTGCTTTCTTTTCGCTCGGTTCGAAGTCGTTGGAGATTGTTGGAATGCGTGCCAAGAAGATTGAGGTAGAGATTGTGAATGACACTTTTGCTGGTGGATGATTTCGATGATCTTGTGACGATGTTGAGTACCTTGTGAAGATTTCGATGCTGTTGGCAGCCGTGTCAACTGCGCTATTATTGTTTTTTTCAGGTGTCGCTGGTGGAGCTGCTGCATTTCATTTTGCTCGGTACAAAGTTATTGGATGTTGTGAGAATGCCCACCAAGAAGATGGAAGAGTAGAGATTTTGAATGACGCTTCTGCTCGTTGAAATACCTGTATGCTGGTGGACGATGGCGATGATCTTGTGACGATTTCGATCCTGTGGGGAGCTGTGTATACCACGCGATGAATTGTTCTTTTGGGTTCGGTGGTGGAGTTGCTTAATCTCTTATTGCTCGGTACATCATCATTGGATATCATTGGAGTGTCTTCGTTCGTCCGTGTAGTGGAGTTGCTTAATCTCTTATTGCTCGGTACATCATCATTGGATATCATTGGAGTGTCTTCGTTCGTCCGTGTACTGCAAATGAAGATCTGAGCCTAGATGCTGAACTTAGTTGTTCCTGGACAGTTCTGTGCGGCGGCTGTGTACTGTGTCTTGTGACAGTTTCATCTATCGATCGATTCATTCGGAGGAGGGGATGAACGATTGGCAATGCCCTTCGTTTTTTGGCACAACCCTGTTTGGAGATCCCCCGTTTGTCTGCCTGCCGGTTTATCTTTCTGTCTGTTCGTGCGCACGTCTGTCTGGGAGTGTCTGTGTCCGTCTTCACGCCCGCTTAGCTCTCCCCGGGTGCATGTGAGTGTCTGTGCATCTGCCCTTTTACGTGTCAATGTCTGCTCGTGTCCATGTGCGTGCCTGTACATCTTTACGTGTCAATTTGTCTGCATGTTCGTCCTTCGTACTGTCCGTTTATCCGCCTGCCTGTCGCTTGCTTGACCGCGTGTGCGGCACGTTTGTCTGCCTGGTCGTCCGTTCCTCTGCGTTCTTGTCGTTCTTGTCTGTTAGCGATCCTGCCACCTGTCTTTTCTGGATCGCCTTTGGCCTCTCTTAGCTACGTGTCTGACCGACCGCCTGTCTCTCTGAGCTTGTCTTTCTGTCTGCGTCCCCATCTCTGCGTGCGTGTATCTGCATGTCCATCTGCGTGATTATCTCCCTCCCTTCTGTCTGCGTCCCCATCTCTCGGTGAGTGTATCTGCATATCCATCTGTCTGCGTCCCCGTCTCTCGGTGCGTGTATCTGCATGTCCATCTGCCTTATTATCTCCCTCCCTTCTGTCTGCGTCCCCATCTCTCGGTGAGTGTATCTGCATATCCATCTGTCTGCGTCCCCGTCTCTCGGTGCGTGTATCTGCATGTCCATCTGCCTGATTATCTCCCTCCCTTCTGTCTGCGTCCCCATCTCTCGGTGCGTTGCATGTCCAGCTGTCTGGTCCTGTCTCTCGGTGCCTGTATCTGCATGTCCATCTGCCTTACTATCTCCCTCCCTTGTTGGGTGTCTATGTGCATGTATCTGATTACACCAATACGTATTAAGTGGTGTATCTGCATGTCCATCTCCCTGATTACTTCTCTGCGTTGTTTTGCCTGTGTGCATGTACGTTTGTGTCTGTGTGGATGTGCGTGTCCACAGGAAAATCTGTGTAGTCTTCATCTGAAACAACGCATGTTTGCCTGTCTGCATCCCTGTCACTCGGTGCGTGTAGATGCATGCCCGCTTGCTTGATTCTCACTCCCCTGTTGTTTGTCTGTGGGCATGTATGTTATCACATTGACATGTAAGACGTGGTTATGTTATGTAAGGCTGTGTGGATGTGCGGGTGCCCAGGAGAATCTGCGTAGTGTCTTCGTCTGAATACCACGCCTGGTCATTATAGCTGTATTGGAAGCAACTTCCGACCAGGCGTTGTATTGGGGTGAAGACAGTAGTAGGGGCCTTTTGGCTGCCTATGGAGTTTTAAGCACTCCCAGGGTATGAAGGACGTAGACGAACGGGCCTAGCTCAGTTGGTACACCCATGAACTGTTTTTCTTACACCCATGAACTGTTGCAATGCAGTGACCCAAGTTCGTATCCATTATCAGATGAACAGAACAAAAGCATTCTGAATTACTTGGGCCGGTCAGTTGAATGATGATATTTCGAAGCCGTTGCCCTTTTTCTTACGAAAGAGAAAGCCACTTCAGGGAACAGACTGGCTGTCATTTCACCGTATCCAGTGTGTGCATGTTTGTGTTCGTAGGGAAATCTGTCTCAGTAGCACCACTTTTGAATATGTGCGACTGTGCAAAGCATTACTTCTGGCTTTATATGAAACAAGTGGACCCGAACGACGACGATAAAACATTTTGCGAAACACCCAAGCCATCAGTTGGATCCCATCTTCGCAATGTACCCCTACCCGCTGCCCGACTTTGCAAAATGGCCCGGCAGTTGCTAAGTTTTCGCAGAGAAACGCCGGATCCCATCTTTGCAATGTACCCCTACCGGACATTGCTAAGTTTTCGTACAGACACAAATGGAAAAGGTTTTCGTAGAGACGCACAAAACTCTCTCTCTCTCTCTCTCTCTCTCTCTCTTTCTCAACACGTGTAGTAGTGTATATTTCGATGCTGTAGCGGAAGATACATTCAATTTTGCCGATCCCATCAACGGAAGTAGCGTGACGCGAGCGGCGGGATCATGGCCGGAAAAATCTCTCTCTCTCTCTCTCTCTCTCTCTCTCTCTCTCTCTCTCTCTCTCTCT